TATAACCACGAAAGTGCGCGGCGTGCGTCAGCCACCTGGTACAGACTATTTCTCTCCCGTCACACTCTTCCTACCCCCCCCCCTCTCTCCCTGCCAAAAAAACAACAAGAAAATGTTCGCCCCGACCAGGACTCGACCCCTGGGAAGAGGGTGTCTTGTGCACCAAGCCCTAGCACGCTCGCCACTCGGCTGTCGGCTCCACTTGTCAACGGCAAGTTCAAACCTCGGTCACCAGGTTCACGAGTCTTGGTCTCCCGTATTGCACGCGTTCAGGTCGGGTCAAGTCCACCTCCTCGACGCGCTGCAGCCCGGGTCGGCTTTTGGCCCGAAACACGGAAAATGGACAGAAAAAAGAGCCCCTTGGGCGCGCGGGGGTTAGCTTAGGTCAATTTATGGAACTTGTTCCGCGTTTTTGGCCAGAATTCAACCCGGGCTGCAGCGCGTCGAGGAGGTGGACTTGACCCGACCTGAACGCGTGCAATACGGGAGACCAAGACCCGTAAAGCGGTACCGAGTTCTGACCTGTCCATGGCGAGTAGAAGCTGACAGGCGAGTGGCGAGCGCGCTGGTGTATGGTTCGGACACCATCGGACATGGGATCGAATCCCCTTCAGTTATTTAAGTTTTTTTTTGTAAGAAAATTGACACTCCTGACACAACGTCGGTGTGAATCCGACTAGGTCTGCAGCAAGGTAGAGTCCATTCCCTATATTCTGGCAGAGCGGCGAGCAAAGGCTTTCGAGACAATGCCATTCAGTCATTGTGTAACCCATCAGCAGGGTGTGTTCCGGTGCGTTATAAGGGTTGACCTGCCGATGTAGAGTGTCCACCCGTCCTCCTGACCTGCATGGGGCTCCTCTCTCCAAGACAATGCTCACGCCCAGGCTCGGCTCGGAGAGGTGGCCACTCTAACTTTTGGGTATCGTCCCTTCAACCACGGTGTTTATGAGCCCAACAAAGACGACCGGAAAGCAAAGCCTAGCCGCTCTGCCAGAATATAGGGAATGGACTCTAAGGACGTCGACTTCACCACCTACTCAGCAGGTCCCGAAAAAAAAAAATCACCCCCAATAGGATTCGAACCCTAGGCCGACGGTTTTTCGGACCGCACACCCCAGCGCGCTCACCACTCGGCTGACGGCTCCACATCAGAGTTGTGCGCGCGAGCCAGGTTGCGAGCCAGGCTGGCTCGCGCAGATTTGTGCGAGCCAGCACGAGCCAGGTGCCTTCTGCAATATTCGGGTCCCTTCGAGATCTCACAACTCTGGAAGGGACCCGTAGATTGCCGAAGGTGCCA